CTGTTATTCTGTTCTGTTCCTTCCAACTCTGTTATTCTGTTCTGTTCCTTCCAACTCTGTTATTCTGTTCTGTTTTGTTCTGTTCTGTTCCTCTCTGTGTGTGTGTGTGTGTGTGTGTGTGTGTGTGTGTGTGTGTGTGTTGCATGAGTATATGTATAGCATGTATATATGTGTGTTATGTATGGGTAAGTTATAAACTTTCTTTTGATAGCAGGCAACAGAATTTCATTTTTAACGTGGGCAGTGGACCCACGTTAATGACAATAAAAGTTATCTAATCAGTTGTTTGCTAAGCAACACAGTGATGGAGATGAAGTAGACCATGGTTCCAAGCCCTTGTGGTACTTTTCAGTGGGTGGAGGTGGCCCTTCTGGTGTCAAATGTGCCAGGTATGCCTCTGTTATGGATCGGCAATCTTTTTGGCAGATAGGTACGTTCAAAAATATGAGAACTTGTCATGAGTGTACATACCAAATGGTTTCCATCTGGACATATGTAATCAGAGAAATATGACTTCTTCAGGAAGGAAGCTGAAAAGGAAACTTCCCCAATCTCTGTACCTTCTACCACATTCTGGATTGTCTTTGTCCACTTCAGTTGACATGACACTTTTTGAGAAACAGTGGATTATTCTTCCAAAAAAGTGTGCAGTCAAAAATGTAGCAAAGAAACAAATAAATGCCCAGTTTTTTTTTTCTTTTCTTTTTTTGCAACTAAAGTAATTTTTAAAATAAAACATATTTGAGGGTATTACATCATCATGGAAATTATCAGAAGAAGCAGTGTTGCTTATGGGCCCTTTGTTGACTATTTCAACACAACTGCTACAGAAAGATGGTCTAAACTAAAGAAGTGCTTTCTTTTCCTATTTCTCTCCACCCCCATCTTTTTCAATCTTCTTCCCCATTCATCATCCTGCTGTCTCTTAACTACCCTGGCATTATATAGAGCATACAAATAAGAGAGGCAGGATGTGCTGTAAGAGCACTCATTATTTCCATTAATGCTTTTACTAGAAGAGGCCATTTCCTCTGTATCAATAATGTATACATGTGCATTTCAAATCCAAAATGAAGAAGGAGTTTAAAGGTGCTGCATCTGCAATGAAGCTAAAGCCTTTATGTTCATTAGAACTGATTTATGCAAGGCCTTTGAAAAGGAATCACTCTATTGAGCAATTTTCCCCTGCTTCAGTCTCCTCCAGAAGCGGATTATATTAGGTGTAAATCAGGGTATGGGTGAGAGAAAGTTCATCCCATTGAAGACTTAAATGGGCTTTCCCATCTCTCTGGTCCAGAGAGGTTTAGAAAGTAGCATCCTGTTAATGATCTAGTCTAGTTTCTAGAAGTATTTGTATAACAATAACAGAGTTGGAAGGGATCTTGGAGGTCTTCTAGTCCAATCCACTGCTCAGGCAGGAAACCCTATACAATTTCACAAATGGTTGTCCGGTATTGAAAACCTTCAGTGTTAGAACTTGTCATGTTCCATACACAACTTATGGAGGCAAGTTGTTCTACTGATTAATTGTACTAATTAATTGATTAAATTTCTCCTTAGTTCTAAGTTGATTAATTTCCATTCATTGTTTCTTGTCCTGCCTTCAGGTGCAGGGGTGAAATTCAGCAGGTTCTGACAGGTTCTGGAGAACCAGTAGTGAAAATTTTGAGTAGTTCGGAGAACCGGCAAATATTACCTCCGACTGTCCCAGAGTGGGTTGGGAATGGGAATTTTGCAGTATCCTTCCCCTGCCATGCCCACCCAGCCATGCCCACATAACCGGTAGTAAAAAAAAAAATGAATTTCACAACTGTTCAGGTGCTTTTGAGAAGAGCTTGACGACTCCTTCTTTGTGGCAACTCCTGAGATATTGGAAGACTGCTATCATGTCACTCATACTCCTTCTTTTCCATAAAGTAGACATATGATTCTACTATAGTTCATCTTACTTGATTTTGATGTATGACATTTTTTAATTAATAAATTGATGTTGGGCTAGATTGCAGAGTTAAGGCTTTTCTCTTAGGTAAAACTTAATCATTCCCGGATTTATTTTCTATAAAACAAACCTAGCATATTTGCTGGGCACTGAACCTCATTACATAAACTGGAAGGATGGCTTGGTATTTCTCAACCACCGGCATCAATCTCCATTTCCCAAGATTTCAGTATTCTCACTGCAACATCCACAAGGCCTCACATAGTGATCCCCAAAATCTCTCCAGATCTGGAACTGGAAGAAAGAAAAAAAAAACCTGTCCATTAAAAAGGGTTTAATTTAAGTGGGGGAGTGTCATAAGTGACATTTACAAAGTGACTGATACCCTGGTGTTTGCAGATATGGCATTTGTTATTCTTTGTTAACAATGCCTAGGAAATTCAGTGTTCCTGTTTAGGAAAAATTAATCAACTTACATGACTGAGTTTACTGAATCCAGGGAAGCATTTAATTGAGAGTCTGCAGTTATTTCAAACAAGAGTGGGCGGCCCATGAGCTTCATGAGGTTTCAAATGCTCTCCCTGCACTTTTTTTTTGGCAGTCATTTTCTGAATATTTTTTTTAGCAGGAAACAAAACTGTCAGATAGATTTAACACATCTAAAAAAAGTATTATTTTTTTTTAAATCCACACCCCGAGGGCTCTCCCCTGGAATCTGAGCTATGCCAAGCCCATGGATTTTAACAGTTCCTGGCAGGCACAAATCTCGACAATTGCAGTGGGATAAATGTACAACATTTTCCTGGTGCCATCCTGAAAATCTCCAAACATATGCTACCGAGACGGGAGATAAAATGACTCTAATGTAGTTGGAAGAGCTTTTCATGGACAGAGAAGAACAGCTTCCACATTTGACATGGGGTTGTCTAGGAGTAATTTTTTGTTGTTGTTGAAATGAGATGTATCTCAGCTGTCTTTTGATTCTCTTTTAAAAGCTTATCCTTCTAAAGCAGGTGACGTGGTTTTATATTCTAGACACCAGGGGTGTCAAACTCAGGGGCTGGATCCGGCCCACAGGGTGCTTAGATCTGGCACCCCCTTGAAATAGCGAAGGTGCCTTTGCCAGCGAAAATGAAGCTCCGTTTTCTCCCGAGCTCCCTTTTTGCTGGCAGAGGGTTGCAGGAGGCTATCGCAGCTGAAAACAGAGCTCGGGAGTCCATTTTCACTGGCAGAGCGCTTAGGATACCACAAATGTCCCTGACAAGAGTCATGTCATGCTGGCCCCCTGGCCCCACACCCCCTCCCCCCAGGTCAAACACAATCCTGTTGGGCCCTCAATGAAATCGAGTTTGACACCCCAGTTCTAGTCTGTAGGTCGCCATTATTTTTTAAAAAATGTTGGTTTAAAAAAATGAAGCTGCTATCTGCTGAGGATATGTATTAAAGAACAAGATTTCAGCCTTCCCTTATTTTTCCAGGTGATGATAGAATTTTGTGAGAAGTTCACTGTCAATATGTTTCAGTGTTAATTTAGTGTGCCTTTCTTCAGAGATAACTAATAGAAATTCAAACGTAATAATTTTTCCCTTCCTTTTTTCTTCCATTAGTTGCAGTTGCCTTTTATTTTTTTAGACTTTGTACGCTTGGTGCCCCTCAAAATGCAGTCTTTGTTTCTCCTTTTAAAATAAAAATGGCTAAGTTGCTGCAAAATAAGACAGCAGGCATCTGTTTTAAGTTTTCTAGTTGATGGGAAGTCAGGGAACGCAACTTATTCATACCTGCATAAAAGTATTTAGGCTGCCAGGACTGCTTTGTGTCTAGCATTTCGAAGATTTCCCTGATATGGTATGTCATACACTAAATAAATAATAAAGGGAAATGCCTCTTGTTGCAGCTGGTGAAGGGGAGAGAAGGATAACTTTGAATGGGATAACATATTTTTTAAAAAACTTGCAAATTTAAAATGAGAGCCCCTTTGAGATTCTTATTAGCTTTCCTTAATAATCTAGTTGTTCTTCCAAGGCCTTGGTTTAACATGGATGTGGGCCTATTGATAGTTGTGCTTTTTTATTATTATTATGCTACATAGACTGGCAGGATTCTTTTCTTTATAAACTTATATTGTGAGCTTCCTCCGTCAGCTGGAATTGGGTGGTGCCTAAATTGAATCAAATAAATAAATAAATAAAAAGTGTTTCTATTTCCTAGGTAACTATTATGGAACACCCAAACCTCCCAGCCAATCCCTCGGTGGGAAAGTGAATAATGCTGATGCTTTGCAAAATCTCCCCTCAAGTTCCAAGCAGACGACTCCCAAACGAACCAAGTCCTACAATGATATGCAAAATGCTGGTTTAGTACATGCAGAGAATGAAGAGGATGACACCCCTGAAATGAACAGTAGCTTTACAGGTAAATCAATTCATTCTCATTATCTCTCTCCCCCCCCCTCTCTCTTTTTTTTCTCTCCCTCCCTCTCCTTCTCTCTTTCTCTCCCTCCCTCTCTTTCTCCCTCCTGATTAATTGGAAGATCAGGAGAATCATGATCCACTTAAATCAGTATTTTCCCCTGGGATTGATGCATTCTGTTAACAGTAAGATTTCTTTTCTAATTTCAAATTTAAGATATGCACTGCAGCTTTAAAGAGAGTCGTCAGAGCAATTCTGAGGGTAAAAAAAAATGTATTAATTTTTGAATTTAAGCTGTCAGATGGGGTCATCAAAGCCTATTACCCTGGTTGAAATTTGGCTCCCAATCAATAACCCTGTGCATTTCTTACTTAATAGTATGTTATCTAATACATTAGATTGGTGTTTGTCATCCTTGATGGCTTTAAGACATGTACATTGCAACTCAGAATTCCACAGAATTCCCCAGCCAACGTTGCTGGGGAATGAGAGTAATTGCATTACTGCAATTAGACAAGCATCAGAGTAATGTATTAAGTGTAATGTGTGGTAAGACACATAAGACAACAACATTGACAGATTGAAAAAGATAGTTGCTACTAACAACAATCCTTTTTGTAAAAAAAAATCACCTGATGAAGCATAATTGGAACGTCTACAGCCTAATTCAAAGAGGACAGCTTTTTAGGAAAAACTCAATAGATGGATAAAAATGCCAAATCCAGGCTAAACATCTGGCTGACTATACAACCAACCACCACCATCATCACAATAACAGTAAATTGGCCAAATAATAATAAAAGACCAAATGAGGACTAGAAAAGAGACTTATCAAGACAAAGTGTTACATGGCCAATGCATAAAACAGATTATGTACTGCAGGCAAAGCAGATTAAAACAAAACTTGACAATGGCTAAAAGCAGGAAAATTGAAGAAAGAGACACAGGGGCTGTTCCGACTGCCTGAGACCAACCCCTGAGAACAAATGCACACAAAGCCAGAATCGAGAAGACGGCAACAGACAGCAAATGCCAGCTCTTCAAAGACGCCGAAGAAGCTATGGGCCACCTGGCTACTTGCTGCAAGATCACACATGGACTATAAACAACAGAATGCCAAAGTAGCAACAATGGTCCATTGGAATATCTGCAGGAGATGCCATTTGCTTGTAAGCAAGAAGTGTTGGGACCACAAACTAGACAGACTACACAAACTCCTTGGCTTGTGACTGATCACTTAGCAACCGTTTGAAGTTACTTCTGACCTCTTTGAAATACTTACAACTTGGTTCAAAATTCCCACTGCTAGCTCTCTTCCCCCATAGTCACATATCCTCCAGGACCTGCAGGGCCGGCCTGGAAACAGCAGAGGCCACGGTGCCTCTGCTGGTGAAAATGGTGCTCAGTGGGGCAGGGCTCTCCAGACTCCATTTTCACTAGCAGAAGGTTGCAAGAGGCCATGCAGGCTGAAAACAGGACATAGGGGACCCCCCACCCCACAAATTCCGTTTTCACTGGCAGAGGGCTATCAAAATAAATTAAAAACAAAACAAAAGGAGAAATGTTTCCCCTTTTGCATTTGAGCATGCAAGAAGGGACAGGAAAGGAAAAAGGCAAAGAGGAAAACCAAAGAAAAATAAGGAAAAATGGGAAGGAAGGAGGAAGGAGAATGAAGAGGGAAGGAAGGAAGGAAGGAAGGAAGGAAGGAAGGAAGGA